TAAACACTGCCATAGTCACCTCCCTACAGGTCTCTCCCCCACATCTGCCTTAACCAGTCCAGGAAACAAGCCCGGTTTCTTCATCACATGTTTGCTGCTCCATGTGGCTTCCTTAGGTCTCAGTCTTTTTCTCCATCTGGCTTCCTTTCTCTCCTTCTCTCTTCTCCTTTCTCCTTTTTCTCTGCTCAGCTCCACCCTCCTTCTGGGTGGGGCAGGGAACCTGGAACTTCCCTTCTCCTAGGGACCACCCAGTTACAATACCAATAGGGACAGGCATGGATGAGTGTTAATCCCCATGTGCGGTCAGGAAAAGGCCAATTAAGCCCCAGTGCACCACCCCAAGCCCATAAGAGTGATCCAGGACAGGGTGAGGGGGAGAGGACCTCTGTAGTGGTGGGTGGGGTTGAGCCTGAAAGGAGTGGGGTTACTTGTCCTTGGAGGCCAGGACACTCTCTGGCAAAATGTCCAGGATTCCCGCATCTGAAACAATTTTTTGCTGTTATGTTGGATCTTTGCCCAGGCATTTGGAGCATGGCACCTATTGCTATGTTGATAGATTTGGTAATTTTATGTTCAAAAGTATCTACCTCATTACAAAGTTTGATCATGCCATTGAGGTCTAAGGTTTTTGTTTTTCCATCGAAAATGCCAATGCATTTTCGATGGCCAATTGTCTGACTACAATATTTTCTTGGCCATCTTCTCCCAGAACTCTTTCTGCAGCTTCTAACAGTCTGGCAACAAATTTTGCGTAAGGCTCGCTGTTGCCTTGAATTATTTTTGAAAGGGAGGTAGTAGCTGCACCGGCCGCAGGCACTGCTCGCCAAGCGGCCAAAGCTGCCTGTGCAGTTTGAATTAGAATCCCTACAGGGAGTTTTTGTTGTTCATTTTCTAAGGCGTATTTTCCTTTTCCTGTAATTTTGTCAGCGGACCATGAGGCCATCTGAGGACTTCTTCTATTAATTACTGCCTGAGCTTCGGCCCTGTCCATAATTTCAGCTATCCAAGTCAAAAATTTTCCTCGATGTAACACCGATTGCACAATTTTATTCCATTCATGGGGCAATAGGTGGCCGCCTCCCCCCAATCCTTCGAGAATTGAAATAGTGAGGGGGCATTTATTCCATAATTTTTAACTGCCGAATGTAACTCTTTAATGTGTTTACTTTTTAATTTTTTATATATGACCTGACTGTTTCTCTTCCCGGTTGCTCTACCTGCTCATTTTCCTCTTCCTCATCCGAGGCGGAGGAACCCTGTCCTTGCTCCTCATCTTGTTCCTGGGTAGTATCTGCCTGTTCTTTTTGATCTTGGATTTGGGTCCTGATCGGGTTATAACCGGGAATGAAAAAGGCGAGCCAATTGACATTATTTTTAGGCGCTTTGATGATTGGTGTCTTTTTTGACCTGGAAGCGGATGGACGGGGGTGTGGATACTGAGCGGTACAGGCTTCCTCTGTAAGGCTCGTTTGTAGGTCCTGTACCTGAAGCGTGAGATCTCTCAATTCCTTTTTAAGGGAGAGAACGTTCTTAAGATTGGCAACCTGATTTAAGAGAGATTCCTTAGCCTTTTTAAGTTCCTGAATTCCTGGGATGATTGGATCTGATCTTTTTAGAGCTGCTTCTTTTTGAACGGGAGCACTAGGGTTATATGGGGGTGGAGAAGACCAGTAAAGGACTATATTCCCCCTCTCGGGTGGAGAGAAATGGTGGATCGTATCTATCCTGTTCATATTGGGCCGCCTCCTCTTCTAATTCGGCCGTAGCCGAGGGATCGAGCCAGTCATCATCTGAATTATTTTTATGGATCACAGGGTAAATCTTTTTACAAGTTTTAGGAGATGTGGGTGGTTTTAACGGGGGGGGGGGCAAAGGGCGCTCTCTTGAAATAGGTTCATCTATTAAAGATGAAGGGTGCGAGGTCGGAGCGACCTCTTCATTTTTATTTTCATTTTTGGGTTGGACAACGCGACCCAGAAAGACAATCCTCGGCAAGTGCTAATAAATGAGCGACCTTTTTATCGTTTTCTGCCTCCTGTAAAATGTCTCTAATAATCCCATAGAAGCTGAAGAAGGCATCAGGAATCCCTTCTCCTTTTTTAAGTAAGGTATTAATATATTTTCCTACTTTATTCCACGTGAGGGTGTAACTGGGTAGTCTCTAGGAGAAGGGAAGTTCCAGGTTCCCTGCCCCACCCAGAAGGAGGGTGGAACTGAGCAGAGAAAAAGGAGAGAGAAGAAGAGAGAAGGAAGGCAGATGGAGAAGGAGGAGACCTGAGGAAGCCACATGGAGCAGCAAGCATGTGATGAAGAAACCGGGCTTGTTTCCTGACCCTGGACTGGTTAAGGCAGATGTGGGTGAGATACCTGTAGGGAGGTGACTATGGCAGTGTTTATATTGATTTTGATTTTGCTCTTTTCCTCTCAGATTTGTCTGGCCATTTCTGACCCTTTTCCATGGGTCCCGGCCAGAAGGTGCTTTAGTCTTGTGGCAGGCTTTCAGGCCTTGCTTTGGGACAATCCCTTTTGGGTTGACTTTTGCCCACGAGGAGATGGGTAACTTCAGGTGTTTGATTTAGAAGTTACATTCTTTGTGTTCCATATTGTATATTCACTGTATTAAAGTCCCTTTTCATTAAAGCTTTATATGTTTTGTCTTGTTGCGGCGGATGGCAGAACCCACTTAGAGCAGGCAGGTTTTGGGGCCTCAGGGGTGCCTCTCTCTGAATTGAGGTGCCCTATAACAGGGGGATGAATTCCCGGGCCATTAACTACAAGCCAGGGACATTTTTCTTCAATAAAATAGAAAAACTTTACTAGATCCTTCTTTTTAACTCTTATTCCTCTCTCCCTGAGATTTAACTTCATCTCTTTAATAAAAAGAGCTTCTTGTGAAAGATTATTGCCCACGGTAAATGGGACAGCTGAACTTACCTCAAGACTTACCGCGGAGCACGAGTGATGCAGTCCGGGTGTTTCTACCTGGAGCGTTTCGGGGTCCCCTTTTCCGCCGTCCGGTAGGTCACCTTACCTCGAGCCCCACGTTGGGCGCCACTTGACCCGTCCAGCAGGTCTAGTAATTCGTGGGTCTCCAGGGGGCACCTCCTGCAAAGCCAATGGGGGGAGAGAGAAAGGAGACCAGGCGCATAAAGAAAGACAGAGTCAATCTGAGTCGCATCAAGGTCTCAAGTTTATTGAGCTGGGTGCGGGTATTTAAGCTTGCAGAAAGGGGAAGGGAGGGGAATGGAAAATTTTCAGAAACCCCCTAAAGCCGTTGGCCCATGTGCTTGCACAAATCGCCAATATGTCAGTATTCCAGGAATGTTATCTTTGTGGTTTTTTTCCAGAGGATTGTTATTTTGCAAGATAGTGAGCAGGAACAGTAGCAGGTCAAAAAGGTCAAGGCTCAGTCATCCCGTCCTCAGCCCCCAACACTAGAAAAGTTGGGTAACCATGGGGAGAAGGGGTTGTTAAGTCAACTTTGCTAGCCTCTTAACAGAGTGTGCTTTTTCAACTTCTTTTAGAACAGCAACTGTTCCAGAGTTCCTCCCAAGAGGCATTTTTAAATAAGATGAGACTCTTTGTCCCTGATCACGGATTATTGGGGGGAGGGGCAGAACAGGCAGGGTCTCAAGGTGGGAATGGTGTCTGCGAGTGGAGGTTCCTAGAAAAAGGGGAAAAGGGGGGGGGAAGGGAGTGGGCACTAGGAAGACACAGGAATGGGAGCTGGGTGCAAGTCTCCCTGCTCTGCCTTCAGCAGAGGTTTATTTTTTTTTTCTTTGGCCTTCCCCAACCACGCGGCTGGACACCAGCCCTGTGCCTATTGAGGACCCTCGAGCTGCTGCTTGCGCTTCGGAAAGCGGGGTGAGCCGGGTCACGGTCCGGAGCCCCCAGAACTACTCACCCCCCCCCCACGCGGGCAAAAGCAGGAGGACCGACTGTTCACCTGGTTTCCCTGAAACAAATCCCCAAGGTGAAGTAGCCCTAGGGCAGCGCCGGGAGCTGGGGATGCGCCTGCGTGTGGACAGTCGCCTCCAGCCACGCTTCACCCCCAGTCACCAGAAAGGAAAGCTGGAGTGAGTCAGAGCTCAAAAAGGGTAGCGCCTGGAGACAGCCCGGTCGAGGGCCCTCTGGAAGAGCCCCGACCCCCGGGGCGCCCAGGGCACGCTGTGGACAGGGCAGGAACCCCCGTGGGATGGGCTGCACTGCTGTTGGGCGCCCGCAGCACGGTCACCGAGATCCCCACCCGTGCTCGGCCGGGCGCCAAGGACGTGACGCCGGGGAACCGACACCCATGGTGGGCTCGCGGCGGCGTGAGGGCGCCAGGCGGGCAGCTGGCTCCTCTCCAGGCACAGCAGCCCGGCCCGCGGCCGCCTCAGCCGGCTAGCAGCTCCCCGGCTCCTGCAGCCAGCCCTGGGCTCTGGGTCGAGCTTGCCCCGCCGCTTGTCCACAGCCTTCCAGTCCGCACCGCTCACCCGCCTCCGCGCAGCGCCAGGGGACAGAGCCCCAGCCGCGGGCTTCGGCTGGGGGAGACTGCCCCCAGTCCCGCCAGAGACCGTTCTCTGGCCATCTGGCCAGCCCGTGCCCCCTCCCAGCTGCTCTGGAGCGCCGGGGGTCCCTGACTCCCCGGCTCCTCCCTCCCAAAAGGCTGCAGGGGCGGCTGAGCAACCCCTCCTCCCAGCGCAAGGCCAGTCGCCCTGGCTCTCCCTCTCTCCCCCACCCCAGGCGCGACCCAGGCACTAAGCTGGCTGTTCCCCTGGGAGGCATGGGGCCCTGGGGGAGCCACAGGCCGCAGGCCCGCAGCAGGTAGCCCCTCTCCTGCTCCATTCTCCCAGCAGAGGTTTATTTTATACACTTCAGGCTGACTGAGGGATGACATTAGCATATGAAATGGGCTGAGATCACGATCACCTTTTTTTTAAAGAACAGTCTGGGGTCATTTTGACCTTTAGTTGAGATAACATTTTTAAAATCAATCTATCAAGGTTAAAACAGGTACATAGATTTAGAAAGTTTAAGACTAATATTACTATATTTACCACAGTGCAGATTAACCAAAATAAAGTCTCTGAAACATTATCTATTACTTAAAGGCTTTCATTCTCATAGAGACTTCCTAGAGGGTAAAGTAAAGTGAGGGCAGAAGAGGAAAATTTCTTGTAAATCAAATTAAGGTAAGGTTCTTTAAAAAACTTGTTAGAAAGTTTAAGTGAATTTTCTTGAAGTCTAGATGTTAGAAAACCTGATTAGCTCTGAATAGGTGACTTGGGTGAATTTCCATATCTAAAGACTAGATAATAGGAAGTTTCAGTGGTTCTTTAGATAATGAATAGAAGGCTATGTAAGATAGAGTGATAAGATTTGGATTTTCCTCAGTCTGGCAGTGAGAGAGATTTTGCAGTAACAGCCATTTGTTTTTATTAATCAGCCAGTTGTTTAATGACTTTTGACTTGGAGAGGAATTTCTCACCCTGGTGCAGTACTTGTTTGTCAGGGCCAGGTAGCACCTTATGAGGCTGAGGCAATCCAATTGTAAGCTGAAGGTTGCTCAGAATATTTTGATATTATGATTATACAAAAAAGGGAGGTCATGGGCCCTCCCTGGTGGCGCAGCGGGTTAAAACACAGCACTAAGAAGCTAAAGCCACTTCCACATGAGTTCGATTCCTGCCTGCCCCTGAGGCGACCACATGGCATGGCAGACCTCTCCTAAGCCTCCCACCCCTGCTCCCCTCAGCAGTGTACTTCGTAGATCTGCCTGTTCTTCTCCCCATTCTCCCTGGTGAAGCCTCTCGCAGCCCCTGAGCCTCTGGCCTGTACCCCAGTTCTGTATGCACAAATAAATAAATCTTTTAAAAAAAAAAAAGGAGGTCATAACATAAGTTAGCGTGGAAAGTCTGATTTTTCAGAACATTTCCGTCTCCATCCGGAATATGTCAGTTGATAGAGGTTGCATAGCTTGTGTCACCTTAGTTTATATGTTGCCCTGAATTCTGCATTTTCATTTTCCATTTGGCCTTGGATATTAGGTCAAAGTTGGTTGAACACCTCCAACCTTTGCATAGCTATGAAAGCAAGTCTCAACAAGAAAAATACATTTTTTTCTTTCTTGTGCTTATGATATGGGACTAATTTAACCATTTTCTCAGTCTCAGACTACTACAAAATCACATGTCAATGTATAACAAAGGCAGATCTAAAACAGTTCTTTCTTGAATTCCAGCCTATTTCAGTTCCCCAAAACCTCTTTTCCAAATACATATAAATATGCAGATGTTATCTACTATATCCCCTATTTTTTGGGAGCACACCTAAGCAGTTCTGTCCCGAACATGCATGCCGATGAGAGTGATTGTTAGCTTGGCATAAAGTAACTGACCATATATATATTTTTAAAGATTTATTTATTTGTACATACAGAACTGGGGTACAGGCCAGAGGCTCAAAGGTGGCGAGAGGTTTCACCAGAGAGAGAGTGGGGAGCAGAACAGGCAGATCCACGAAGTACACTGCTGAGGGGAGCAGCGGGCAGGTCAGGAGAGGTCTGCCACACCATATGGTCACCCCCAGGGCAGGTGGGAATCGAACTCATGTGGAAGTGGCTTTAGCTTCTCAGTGCTGTGCTTTAACCCGCTGCGCCACCAGGGAGGGCCTGACCATATTTTTTGGGAAAATTACACCATCTAAGAAGACTGAGATTGAACTCATTCCAGGGACAGAAGGAAAAGGAAGCTATGCAAAACACAAAGAAAAGATTCAGAATGAATCACTATATAAAATAATGTAGCAGAAGGATGTAAAAAGATCAATGGAGGAGGTGAAATATTCCTGAAGATGTTATGAAAGTAGTATAGACCAAATGGGACAATGAATCAGTAATCTTGATGCAGATATGAAAAGAACTATGATAGAAAAAAAAAGAGATATGTTGAAAAAAAGTGAAGAAACACCTTGATATTTATCTGACATGAAGAAAGGAAGTGCTAATAGGAATACTAGAATGAGAAGAGAGAAAGGAACTGAGAAATAATTATTAAAAAATTATAAAACGGGGCCCTCCCTGGTGGCGCAGCGGGTTAAAGCACAGCACTGAGAATCTGAAGCCGCTTCCGCATGAGTTCGAACCCCGCCTGCCCCGGAGGTGACCACATGGCGTGGCAGACTTCTCCTGA